AAAATAAATATATATTTTTAAAAAAAATGTAGAACTGTTTAGATACAAAACTAGAATTGCAAATACGAAACTGGAACTGTAGATCACAACCCCCCCCAACCTAAACTGAACATTGTCCCAAATGTTTCGAATTTACTAGTAACCACAAAATGAAGTTAGGGTTTGAGAAGTAGAGATTCGTTCATCTACCAAAGCCTACAAAGAAAATACACAATTTAATCATCATTCTTCAAATAAGGGTTTTGGCTAGGCTGGAAGCCCTTCTGCGTAAGTAAAAATAGAAGAAGAAGACCCATTAGCCAATACAAAATTAAAATCCAAAGCATGAAACAAAGAATGGTGTATGTGGAGTGAGTGGTCATTGGCTTGTAGAGGGTAGGTTGTTTGCAGAGAAAAAAGTAAGAAAAAGAAGAAGAAGAAGGAACAACGGGGGATGAAAAAAAAAAAAGGAAAATTGATCACAACAGATTTTAGAGCAACAATCTTTTGGCACTCCCGTTGGGACAACATTACTAACTTTGGATCAAGAAAAAAATGGATAAAACGAGAAAACAAGATAAGATTGTGTTTGACACCAACTAAACTGTGGAATTAGCGCAAAACAATGGCAATTATGAAACAAGTTCGAATACCAACCCACTGAAATCTGCAAATTTAGGAAATTGCCATGATGGTTTGTAAATGCAAGAATTTGTGCAAAAATAGAAGCAGGTTTTGCACAATCCCAATTATGGCATTTGACCAGACTTAGTTAATGTCATGCATGAGTTAATTAATGTCCAGAAACTGATGTAAGAACCAATTAATCAAAAATCAATTACAGTAATTAAAAATTAAACGGTGGTAGAAGGGAACATCAGTCATGTGGTTCTTCCTATAGGAACCATAGACCACCACTGATGATTACCAATGAAAGACTAGACCCACCATACCAAAATTATTGTAATATGGTGTTCAATGGGGAACCTATCGAAATGTTCCCTAATTTCTTCACATGAAGGAATTCTAAGGGAAGAAATGGACAAATGATGGCCCCTTAATTTCCTAGAAGAGGCCGTTGGAGGCTTGTCATGCTCCCAATGGAACCTATAGAGGAATTCAACCCTAGGGCAGGGCAGGGCCGATCCTTTGACTAATTTGAAAACATAGAAAGCCACCAAAATATGACTTTTAATAGGAATCAACTAGTATAGAAAATTTGAGAAGCCTATGTTTAGAAAATCATATCCAATGTATTAATGATAATGCTTAGTAGATAGTGTATCAAATAAATTGAAAAATTGAAGACTGTAAAAAAAATCCTGCGCGTAAACTAATGGATAGTTTGTGGTTGCATAATAGTTTTTTTATCGTACAACAACAATTAGCCCCACTTTTTTTACAAAAATATTGACTAGACTTTTATTTTGAATAATTTTTTTTTTTTGGTTCTTTTATGTTGAATGGACTTCTTATATCAAATGTGATTTAATAAATGTACATGCGTTATTTTATTTTAATTATTCAAGAGAAATAAAAGTAGAGTGTGTATGTATGTGCGCACTCAGAATATAATTATTGGCTACAACTCTAGGTCCATGACAACCTTGGTCCAAGGGTGACTCTACCAGTACGACAATAATTATTTTTTGCGATGTTTTTTTTACGACAAATTTTAATTTGTTGCAAAAAGTGTACTATCCGCAACGATTTCATAATTTTGTCGCAAATTTATTTTTTGACAATTTTTTTGCGATATTTTTAAAAAACTTGGCGAAAAGGTGATCCCCTTCCAACTTTTTTTGGCGCGAGAAATGGCAAGAATTAAAGATTTTTTACAAAAAAATATTTTTTGTCGCCGACTGTTTGAATTCGTCGTAAAAAATAAACAATTTAAAACTAAAATAAAAAATAAAGTCAAAATATATAATTCGCGACGTTTAAATTTTTCGTCATAGAATATAAATTTTAGTTATTAAAGTAAAAGGAAATATTAACGATGAAGATGAACAACAGAAAGCTTTAACATTAAACTTCGAAGCAACGCCCAAAGAAAAGGGGTCCAAACCTGTATTTTGGAAGCTACGGAGTGTAGCTCATCCTCAAGCAAAGGGAGGAATATTGAGTTACACACAGTTGAGAGGGATTAATTCGATCAATTAGGTCAGATTTATGGCGGTTTAACTAATAGTAATTTGTTTCTAAAAAGAATTGTATTTCTAGATGCCGATAGTGTTTGACAATACATTTCTATGTGTGTGTGTTAGTACTTTTTCATGATTCAAGCATACAAATAGGTTCTCGGGGTTCTTGGTCCTATTTTTCATGATTTTTCTTTCCTTTTCTTTATTGTTGATGAGGACTTTGAGAATAGATATGCCAAGAGATTTCTGGACTATGTTTGGCATTTAAAACATGCTTAGTAAGATTAAGTTTTCGGCGCATGCTTAAAATCACACATGTGGAATGGAATGAAAGATTTGTTATGAGCTAGATCATCATCAATATGGTAGACATCAGTACATAATTTTAGGATTTCTTGTCTGCAGTAGATAGAGGAGCTTCAAAAACTCAATTTGTGCTTTCTATACATTTTTTGGATTTTTACTCACTCTTGTTCAACATTCAGCACATTGTTTTGCTAAAATTGATCGGGGAACCTAGTAAATGCCTTAGCTACTTGGTTATGAGGTTTAGTCAGCAAACAAAATTTGTGTATAATACCACATGATTCATTAAAGCTTATATGAGGTGCATCATATAATGTGTTTACAGGACAAAAGTGGTTTAAGACATTTGGGAATCACTACATGCTCTAAAACTTTTTGTGATGTGGCAGACCATCCTTAGTCAAAGACTCAAAAAATTAGTGACTTTTTGTTGAAGCATCTAGTGAAAAACATGTTTTCTAGAACACTCATCACCATGATTCTTCCATATCTATAGTGACTGACATGGGTGGTTGTTTTTATTTTAGGTTAGCTTATATTTTTTTTGGGATATATTCGTTTGAAAAGAGGAAGGTAAGCTCACAGTAGGTTTATAAAAGCAGTACAGTTTGTAAAGAATCAATCGCACTTTTACTCTTTGAATTTTGTACCATCCTTACCGTATGCTTCTTTGTAACGTGATTTTTAACTTTATCTCTATTCATTGTTTATATAAAAGCGTAGTTTAAACTCACATTTTTTAATGTTAAACTTTACTAGCAAATTCCGTTGTTTAGAGACCTTCACGTAATTTACATGTCTTTTGTGTGTTTTAGCTATTTTTTTCGCTATGTCATGAATTTGATTGTAATTAATTATTAAAAAATACGGTATAGGATTGACGAGTTTCCAGCTCTCTTTTTTCCTTGTTTTTTTTTGTGTTTGATTATTTTGGTATCTTGAAACCACATATATTTGATGGTTCAGATTTGCAAACATATCATATTGGAATACGTTTATGGATATGAGTTCGATACATTTACATAAACTAGACCCGTTGTACAAACAAAGAGTTAAGAATTTTATCAAGTTTGCATGTGAAAATAAACCAAATGCACTAGAACTCACGTGTCCATGCAAAAAATGTTGTAATGTTAGATTGGTAAAAGTGGAACTTTTGGAAGAGCATTTGACTGTAGATGGGTTTCTTGAGAGTTACACTCGTTATATCTTGATGACACACTTCCAAACTCTTGTATATCCATAAATGGTTCATAGTTTGCTATGGTGGAGAATGTGCACATGATTCCAGAACCACCATCATGGTGGCACCCTACTTCTAGCCTCCCAGTTACATTATTTGGTTGTAGATTATGTTTTTCTCACAATTTGATATTATGCATACAATTATATGTTCAGTAATTTAAGTATTTATAATTCAGCTTTCAGTACCAACCATCCATCTTGTGGCCAATCACTAGACGATGATGGCAATACATCACGCAACAACGACGGTATATTTTAGTAATGTATGAGTAGATGGTAATAATTATCACTAAACATGATATTGTAATCACTCAACAATTTTTTTTTTAAGTGTAGGTTCCAATTCCTCGGATTTTATACAGAGACGAACTAGAGGTCTTACCTCGATGCATGGCGGCAGTGTACTACAAATTGAGGAAAATGAATTAAAGCAACCAATTGGTGAAAAAGCTTCTCCACTTCAATCTCGTTTAGGCGTGCTAGCTCGAAATGGGACCATGGCACCCTTAAATTGGAACGAGTGGCGTGTTGTTCCCAAGGAGTGCAAAGAAAGAATATGGGATGAAATAAAGGTGGAAAGTTTTTGAATTTATTTTATAGTTACTAAGTGATTGTATATAGCTTTTGCATGTTATTAGTGGTTTTTGAATGGAATTGTAGGCAAGCACTGATGCAAATGAGTGGATGAAAGGATATTTAACGAAGTCTATAGGGAGGAAGTGGAAAGACTGGAAGTGTGAGATTAAGAAACAAGCTTATTATCCCTATAGAACTGATGTAGAGAGATTAGCTCACAAGCCTGACCGAGTGGAGGAATCACAATGGCGGGCCTTGGTCTACAATTGGAGCACTCCAAAGGCACAGGTACAAATATGCAAGTGTAAATCTTGTCAATTCTACCAGAATTCATTGCTCTTTTTCTTCAAATTTTTATGATAATTGCTTTTGGCAAGTAATAGGAAAAAAGTGAGAGGAACAAACTCATTCGGAACAAGAAAAAATTTCATCACAGCACTGGCCGAGAAAGCTTTGCATGTGTTATGGAAAGGGTTTGTTAGAAAACAACTGCATTTTATAAAAGACTTTTATTCAAGTTTATTTATTGTGTCTATTTTAACTGTAGGAAAAGAAAAAGAATAATGGAAAAAAATGAGTCGTATTGAATTTTCTAAGGTTGCATATTCAAAGAAAGATGGTTGATCAGTTAATAATGTTGTTGCACAAGCCTTGGTATCTAATATTGGCAAGAAAGATGTTCACTATTATCCATTCTTATTTCTCCTATGTTTCATATTTATTTCAAAATATTTTTTGTTGGAGTCAGACATGGATGAACTTGTATCACAAATGCCAGAGTCTTCTATGCAATCTTCATATGCAGTAAATGAAGTTTTCACTCAAGTCATGGGACCAGAGCGACTTGGACGTGCTAGAACATATGGTTTTGGACTATCTCCTAGAGATTTGTTCGGACATAAAAAATCAGAAGAGATGCAAGCAATGCAATCCCAACTAGATGAGCAATTGAGTAGACATAAGGCAGAGATGGAGGCTAAACAGTTAGAGATGGAGGCTCAACAAGCACAAATGGAGAAGCAAATGAGTCAGATGGAAGCTAAGTTTGACACTCAACAAAGACAGTTTGAGGTTTTCTCGTTCAAATGCGTGCAATGGGTATGCCTATTCCCGAACCAGCTCATAAAAACACAGATTCACTTCAAGTTGAAAAGGTAATAAAAACTTCAGCGACTTATATTTTGAGTTAGAAGAGTTATTGTATTATTGTATTATTTTTATCCATGAATATTAAGTATTTGCAATCTTAAAAGGCACCTGATGCATCTAGTACTCATAATATAAACTCTCATCGATCATTGATGAGGAGTGAGTCAAGAAGTCCGGTAGTGCGAGACACAGAGTTTCGAGGTCATTCTAGAGCATTTTCATTTGGTCAGGTGAATCAATAAATGAAATAGTAGCTCAAATATTACATGAGTTTGTTGACTAGTATCTTTTCTTGTTAGTTAAATATCTTTGCTTGTTGGGTTTTATGTTTGGTTTGAGTTTGATGGATTTTTTGTGCTTGTTGGATTTTCTATTTGTATTGAATTTGTGTTATTGGAAATAAAAATATGTTTATTTTATTGTTTTATGTGGAATTCATGTGTTAATTTATATTAAATGTTAGGTTCATCGACAAAAGAGAGCAAAATTGCAGCATGTTAATAACAATGTAGTGAAATTCCCGCCCAAGTGACTCCCTCTTCTATTCCAGTAAGTTTTTTTTTTCTCTTAATTTCTTTTATTGGGAGAAGTTTTGCTAATGAATAGTTGAAGAGCGACAATCATGAGTATATATGTGTAGATTTTGCAACTCTGGTTTTCATCGGACATACTCAACATAGTACAGAAATGAGATGAGTTTTCATAGATGAGGCTTTAGACACCCAATTGAGGATGCAGTCAATTATCCTTACGTATTAAATATTCTAGTTAAAAATTAATTACGGATGAGTGAACAGATCCACAAGTTTCATATGTGAGTTTATGTCTCACAGTAATGATATTGGTCAAGCTCTAACAACCTCTCAGCTCCCACTTTCATGTTGCACATGTGGAAACAAACCATTAGACTGATGCATGAACCTCCTATGCTAGTTTTCGGAGGCCTTACACTACCAATATCTGGACAAGCTCTAACAATGTGTATGTTTCTTCTAGCAAGAGTATCTTCTCTTCTATAGTAGATACTATAAAACTTAAGTGACATAAGTATTTTACTGCTTTACTTTTTCCCTATTTTCCATTGACGCAAATAGAGCTAAGTGAACTTATAAAAATGTATTGGCATTTTCCATAATCATAAGATTTGATCGAAATGTATACTTGTAAAGCCCCAAAATCCACCTTAGACGACATTATTATCTCAAATCATTCACATCACGAGAGCAACTAATAAAACCCATAGATAAAAAGAATTCCATTCATCATACATAATATCTACAACATCATCCAAAAGAATATGTCAAACCATGACAATTACATTTAAAGATCAACCTTAACCTTGTAGCGGAATAAACAAAATATCATCCATACATTGTATCAAAATGCATCTCCTAGTCTAGGACATAAAAAGAACAATTTTAGACATCCCCCTTGGGATCTACTCTTCCAACCAATTGAGCTTTCGCTACTACCTGCTCATCAACTCCGAGTTCTTTCTCTAAACCAAAATCTGAGAATAAATATTGTTTGTAGGGGCTAAGCACTAAGCTCTGTAAGAAAATCTTTCCAAACTCGAACAAGGTTTGGAAAACATAATAAACAGTTCGGTCTCACTTTCCAAAATATCATGTATAACTTTGAAATAAAACAGTGACAAATTATCAAATCTCAAGATAACGAAATAGCAATAAATTAAAAGAAGAGTAAAACCAATTTCCAAACAGTAAACCATTTCCACAACAATAAATAATAACCCACAATTTGTACCATTACTCACAATGAATCTTAACCCACAACTTGTATCTCCACTTGTATCTGTAACCACACTTATATATTTGTATCTCAGATAGGAAGTAAGACTTCGCATGAATACACACATTGAGAATATCCTGGCCCACACACACACACCCAATCTTCACAAGGATATACAACTTTAGGAGGGGCGTATACCGACGCATTGGCAGTAACGAATCCAACCCAGAAATAGTATACTAACCTTCAGCCTCGATACCCGTGAGCGAATAGTGGTTTGGTCCTCGCAAGGCACTAACCCCACTACGAGTGGTAGGAAAAATTCAAATTCTCACGGAGTAAAACGCATCTACCCACTCTACGATATTCTGTTAATAGTCACTCATGTTCATCCAAATAACCACACAAGAGATACAATACCAACCAATTTCTTAAATCACAAGTAAATCCAACAATTCTCAAATTTCACATGTATTATTCCTATAGAACAATTTAAGAAGATATGCAAAAGATCATTTTATTGTTCAATACTAAGCACTAGAGTTTTGAAATCAATAACAAAGGAATATTGAGAGAAAAATCCATTTTTTTTTAAAACTAGGGTTTTTAAGACAAGAAAAAGAGATTTCATGGCTATCCGACATAACTTCCATCAAAACATGATAATATTTGCAAGAGTATAGAGAAATAATGATTTCATAACATATATATAAGATTGAGAGTAAAAACATTTTTATATATATGCCCTAGCCTCAATGAACAAGAATAGGAAGAAACTCCTACCTTTTTCCTTAGTTTTATGTGAAGAACTTGAGATTTTGATCCACGTCAATGTGAAAATCCTCCTTGATCTTGTGTTTTTCTCCTTCTTTCTTTCTCTCTAAGACTTCCTAGGGTTATAAATGTTGAAATGATGTTAAAGGAGGCAGCTTTATGTATTTATAGGGTGAGAAAAGAGTCCAACCGACGTAAATCTGATACTCTGATGCGTAACTCACGTTCGAACGTCATTTTGGCGTTCGAACGTTAGTTGCTCCCAATAGTTTTGTTTTTCATCAGAAAAAAGTACAGGAACGAACTGTCGTTCGAACGGACATTTACGTTCGAACGGACTTCTTGTTTCTGCTAAAACTTCCAATGAAGTTTTGGCCTATTTAGAGGTCGAGTTGGAAAATTTTTGTGAAATATACTTTTGTAGCCTTGGAAGTCTAGTGTCAACTGTAAAAATGTCAGATCCAACGGACATCAGGGTAAAACTTTATGGTCTAAATACTATAACAGTGTCAAATTCTTTCTACCAAAATTCTATGTAAAATGTGTTTTAACTCCAGAATATTTCCTAATTTTTAATACGTCCCATATTACATCTCTCAAGGTTTCTCGACCTTTCGGACTCAATGGAAACCTTATCTTGGTCTAAAAATATTTAGAAACTTACCTAATCACTGTTCTTATGGTTAAACACATTCAAAACTAAGTTTGACTCAAAAGTCAATTCATCCGAAACTCAAAAGAACCAGAGGCTCTCCCATTTTGTGCCATTGTATATGCTCTGACTGATATATTTGGTTCTCTGATTTGCTCAATTCCGACAGTCAGGCAAAGCTTGCTTGCAGAATTCACTGTTTTATATGGTCTTGTTGAGAGTTCTTGTTAAGTCTTTTAATTTGAAAGGCATTTGTGCCTTGCTTTTATTTTGTTGTTTTGTAAGGCGGCTACTAGTATCTTTGCATGTTTTGGTATCTTCGGTCTATGTTGAATTTGCATGTTTTGGTTGATGATAAAGGCTAATGCGTTTTCGCTTGGGTAGTGTTGATTTTTTTGCATTTTTGGAAGAAGGAGGGCAGCTGTAATGAAGTCTTTGGACTGATTGATGGTTGCAGGCTGAGATTTTACTTGAAAAGGCGCCAGTGCCTTAGTTTTGTTTGTTTTTTTTTTTTGTCAGGCTATTTTGCCTTGGTTTCTTCTTGTAATTTCTCTGTTTTATAAATAAATAAAATTTCTATTTAAAAAAAAAGATCGTAAACACCGGAAACTAGTTGCTCAGAAATAATAATTACTAGCGTTTAAATTAACGTCGTAAAATAGCTCCGGTAACTGAAATTTTACAATGAAGTCGTTGATTAAATAAGCGCCGCTTTAGCGTTTAGCAAAAGTCACTTTAGTTTTTCTGGCGTTTGATTATACGCTTATAATTTTTTCGACGGAGGTTTCGACAGCGTTAAGAACAAAAGTCTATTAATATTTTGAGGCGTTTATTAAACGCCGGTAAAAGTCATTTTTCTTGTAGTGACATGCACTGAAACAGCCCCTCCACAAGGGGATCCGAGGGATAGAGGCAAAGTATTACATATCTGTCTATGAAGAAGACGCTTGCAAGCATGACATGCTATTGAGACTTGAGAAGCTCGATTTCAATCTATCACAATTGTTGCACTAGCAGCACCTATGCCACCTCTCAAGGTGAGTGAGAGAGTGACAGTGAAAGAGAGATTTGAAACTAACTTTTTTTTCGACTCTAGGTGGTGGAAAGATTTGAACATTTTATCAGAACTTCCTTATACAAGGGACAACCTGGTAGAGAGCCACATGTGGGCTATTGCAACATATTATGAACCTCATTACTCTTACTGAAGAATCATTTTTACCAAAATTTTTGCTCTATTAGTGATTACAGATTATACATATGATGCATATATTTCACTTGAAGAACTCAGACTTTTCACGGATGCAATACAGAGGTTATAATTTCTTAAAGCTCTTGTTTTTTGTTTTTTTTTCCCCTCATAGCAAAATCATTAATTTATTGATTGTAAAAACATGAGAACGGGACAGATAATTTGGAATTAGACAACGGCCCCTCCAAATCGACAACTATTTATTTTGTGGCGTCTTCTTCTATAGTCGGGACTTTTTATTTTGAGCATAACTGAATGGTTTAGTCATCAATGTTTTGTTGTCTATGGTAGAAGCATTTCTCTACCGTTTGACAACCAAAAATAGAAAACAGTAAATTTGTTTTCTTTATTTTTGCATTCAAGTGATAACTATAATGAAATTGCTTTAATTTTTAGGTGGAATATGAATCAAATCAATGAACTTCCAAATTACATGAAAATAATCTACAGAATTCTATTAAATCTGTGGAAAGAATTAGAGGAGGAAATGACCAAGCAAGGAAGATGGTCCGGCCTTCATTGTCTACAAGAAGCGGTATGAGTTATAAAAGTTCTATATATATATAGATATAGATATATATTTTCTTTTTACTCTTGTTCATTTTTTTCTTTTCGTGTATTGCCAAATTAACAGTGAAAAGAATTTTTTATGTCAATGTGACAATAGTTTGAAGNCACAAGGGGATCCGAGGGATAGAGGCAAAGTATTACATATCTGTCTATGAAGAAGACGCTTGCAAGCATGACATGCTATTGAGACTTGAGAAGCTCGATTTCAATCTATCACAATTGTTGCACTAGCAGCACCTATGCCACCTCTCAAGGTGAGTGAGAGAGTGACAGTGAAAGAGAGATTTGAAACTAACTTTTTTTTCGACTCTAGGTGGTGGAAAGATTTGAACATTTTATCAGAACTTCCTTATACAAGGGACAACCTGGTAGAGAGCCACATGTGGGCTATTGCAACATATTATGAACCTCATTACTCTTACTGAAGAATCATTTTTACCAAAATTTTTGCTCTATTAGTGATTACAGATTATACATATGATGCATATATTTCACTTGAAGAACTCAGACTTTTCACGGATGCAATACAGAGGTTATAATTTCTTAAAGCTCTTGTTTTTTGTTTTTTTTTCCCCTCATAGCAAAATCATTAATTTATTGATTGTAAAAACATGAGAACGGGACAGATAATTTGGAATTAGACAACGGCCCCTCCAAATCGACAACTATTTATTTTGTGGCGTCTTCTTCTATAGTCGGGACTTTTTATTTTGAGCATAACTGAATGGTTTAGTCATCAATGTTTTGTTGTCTATGGTAGAAGCATTTCTCTACCGTTTGACAACCAAAAATAGAAAACAGTAAATTTGTTTTCTTTATTTTTGCATTCAAGTGATAACTATAATGAAATTGCTTTAATTTTTAGGTGGAATATGAATCAAATCAATGAACTTCCAAATTACATGAAAATAATCTACAGAATTCTATTAAATCTGTGGAAAGAATTAGAGGAGGAAATGACCAAGCAAGGAAGATGGTCCGGCCTTCATTGTCTACAAGAAGCGGTATGAGTTATAAAAGTTCTATATATATATAGATATAGATATATATTTTCTTTTTACTCTTGTTCATTTTTTTCTTTTCGTGTATTGCCAAATTAACAGTGAAAAGAATTTTTTATGTCAATGTGACAATAGTTTGAAGAAATAGTTAAGTGCTATGAAATTGAGGCTAAGTGGTGTAGTGAGGGATACGTGGCAACATTTGATGAGTATATGAGTACTGAGTTGATCACCGGTGGTACTTGCTGCTTGGACCTTTGTCCTTATTAGGCATGGGAAAATTTTCTACTATTGAGGCATTTGAGTGGTTGCACAACAGGCCCAAAGTTCTTGGTGCATCAAGCATAATTGGGCGGCTCGTGAACGACATTGCGAGCCATGAGGTATGCAAATATATATATAATACACGCACACGCACAAGTTTGTCAAAAAAAAATTCATGTGAACATTCACCAGTAACTTTCTATTCAATTTGAAAGAAGAAGATCATAGGACAAACGTTGCTACATGGATTGAATGTTATTTGAAGGGTTATGGAGTGTCAAAGGAAGAGGCTATTGATGTGTTTTGCAAATGCATGAAAAGATATTAATCAGGAATTCATTAGGCCGACCCCCATTTCAATGACTATCCGCGTGCGAGTTCTCAGCTTGACAAGGTTTCTAGAGGTCATTTACAAGCATGGAGATGGATACACACATCCAGAATTAGAGTTGAAAAATCATGTTGTCACCTTTTTCGTTGATATCCCATTCCCATTTAGGTTTTTGTAAGTTCCATTCTGTCATATGTTGTAAGTCATAGAAGTTGCCTCTCCGCATGGTGGAGTAAAGTTTTCAGCTCTAAATGACTTTTTATTATTTCTGTTAACGATAAATTACACTTTGCCCTGCTCAATTGTGACATTTTTTTCACTTTGCCCCCTGAATTGTTAAATTTTTCATACTGCCCCTTGACAACATTAATTATTTCACTCTGTCCTAATCATAAACATTTTTTTATCTTTTCAGGGGGCAAAATTAAATACTCTTATGTTAAATATGTGATGGACGCTAATAATTGGGATAATAAGAAACTAATCACTTAGTTGATGAAACAATATGAAAAACATAATAGTTGAGGGGCAAAGTGAAGAGAGGGTCATAGTTGAGAGGGTTAAGTATAATTTTCCCTTTATATAATATGTATATGTTTAACTCCATAAAAAGGTACATTTTTTGGGGCAGTTTAGGACGTCACGTGATATTGTTCGAATACGTTAGATTAGTTTTTTTTTTTTTTGGGGTAAATGAAAATTGTATTGATTCCAAAATGAATTACAATATAAAGGTTGTCATGGGATGTTGCACTTTCCCAGTAGTATCCTCCAAATTTTCTCTGACTAAAATTAGTCAAAGAATAGTTTTTGGGTTTGCTCTACATAAGACACACGCAGTCCCAATATTAGGAGCATAGATTTGGATCCTATCTTTGGTAGCCGATTTACCTTTGTTTGCAATCGAAAGTATACATGAAACTCATTATGGGAATATTTTGACCATACCAGACCAGGTGGTGCCGGTTGACTTCCGATTGTTTGTTTCTGTAGATCTCCAATTCTGATGAGGTAGTATAGGTACCAGTGGGAGAAAACAACCATTGCACTTTGTCCTTTCTATTGGAGTTGGGGAGATAGGTGCGTAAAGATGCAATGATTTGTTGAATTTCCCTATTTTTTCTGGTATTGGAATGAGGCTATACCCATTGTTCTACCTCTATAATATGACTAACTTGAACTTTATGGGGTAAACTAGAGTCATAGATCACTCTTGTTTAGAATGTAGAAGTACACTTTTTTAAAATGTATTTTTTTTTATTCCATAAAAATGTATGAACTTAACATGAGATCAACATAGAAGTAATAAGTTTGAATTTTGTTTTAATGGATTCGAATAATAAACAAGTTGAATCACTAAACACAGTTTTCACCTGGCTTAATTATTACACAAACCCAACACTACACCAACTTGTCTATAAATGATTACAAATGTGTCGAACATTACTGAATCGAATTTTGACATGACATAATTTAAAAAGGGCGTTCATCTAATACAACAAGACTTATTAACAATTGTAATTATTTTTCCACTAGCCCAATAGTTTTCTTAGAACTGATTTTATTCAGTATTTTCTTAAATTGATCTCGTGTAATTAGAGCAATTCCATACTAGCCCAATAGTTTTCTTAGAACTGATTTTATTCAATATTTTCTTAAATTGATCTCGTGTAATTAGAGCAATTCCATATTAGACAAGACGTAGTGTATTTGCAGAGCCGTGATTGTTCAAGAATTGTTTCATCCGCTTAGTTGGATTTGTTTGAACTTTGTGGAACATCTTTATTTTTCTTTTTCTGATTTATTTTTGACTAAGGTCAGGAGATTAGCAAACTCGAAACCATTAAATCCTCCATGACAAGGTAAACCACCACATCTTAACTTCCTGATTGATTCTACCATGGTGGCTAATGATAGACTATAACTCCATGCACCCGAACAATAGACTATATCTATTTGAGAAGATTTTGATCAATCGCTTGAACTTGTCATTCTTTATTTGCCATGAAAGGTGTCTCATTCACAAATAGATCTCTTAATAAGAGCCTCATTCAATCGCAAGGAAATTGGGGGTGGAATTGACTTCACATCTCAATCGTGTCATTTATAATTCAATGAGGGGAATGACACTTGTTGGTGTTTCTCGCCTAAGTTTTCCATTATTTATCGACATTATGTAATTTTGAAAATTAGTAATGTTATATGAGTCCCGAATTTGTTGGGATTTATTTCTAATTAATAATAATAATGAATCTATTTAGTAGATTATGTTAACAAATTAAATTCAAGTAGTATTACTCTGAAAATTAATTTTGGATAATGTTAGACTGAACAAAAACTTGGACTAAAAATAGTGACTAAATAATGTTAAGCTAGTGTTATTTTAATTTTTAAACCAGTATAAGTGAAAAAAAAAAAAAGCTGACTATTTCCGTATTACATTATTTGGTCAATTTATTTAGTTTTATCATTTACTTGGCCGAGAATCACAATGAGTTCTAGGTATTTATAATTGAGAAATGCTACCTACTTCATTTATAGAACTTTGGTACTTGTCAATTTATTATTATCAAATGTCATTATTGGTTAGGATCTCCCTGCTTATCCCATATGCAATAATGGATTGAATCATATCAATTGATCCAATCACAAGTTAGACCAACGGTGCTTCTACAAATATCCCCTTGCCCTGACTGCGATATGCACACTATATTTAAAAATATATCTTGTATTGTATTCGTATAATCATCCTAAGTTGTATCTCTTTGAATCCGAGAATGACTGCTTCTTTCATTAGCCCATTTAGTGAATAGAATATTTCACATCAACACTATATATGTTTTTCTGTTATTGATTATTAACAAAATGAATATAAATTAAATAAATTCTTATACAACATGATATAAATCCTATAATTTGATTATTTTACACCGTACCTTTTAGGAGTCGACAGATCAACTTGTCACAAAAATAATCCATGAATTTAACATTGGTAAGACCCTGTTCAAAAAAGCAACATTGGAAAGGCACATTTCTTGGAAAGATAGAGCAAGTGGCAAAAGTAAAATGGCCTACCAAAATTGTAGTTATGAAAGATTTTATTTTTTTTTTTGTCATTAGCTTTGTATGATTGGTGGGATGCATATTTGTGTGGTTATAGATATTGGGGAAACTTCATTTTATCCCTTGTGGTTTGACTTATTTGCACATAACATCTCTCAGGTTCTAAAATAACACTTAATCCCTTGTGGTCGATGGACCACAATGCACCGTTAATTTTTTCATATATTTTAACGATTGGTGTATCTCACATGCATGTTAAACAACTTGGTATAAAAAAAAATTACAAAAAGTCAAAAAAAAAACCCACAGTAACTTTGTCTCCTGATCCCTATTCTCTCTCCTCTCTTTTTTTTTTTTTTTTCTAGTTGGGTCCCTTTAGCTTGCAAACACCAGCATCTTCGCCATTCGCCACTCCAAAACTTTGAAGGATTTACCTTCGCCGCCTTTTCCGATGGTCATTACAATGGTTTTTCAGCTAGTATCAATATGGAATCATTGATATGTGACTTGAGGAGATGTGGTTTCAAAGCGGTGGCAGAACTCATCACCGTCGCTGACACCAAAGGCCACCCATTTACCCATGTGACGACGATGATGGCTAGGTTGTCAGAGTTATTATGGGATAATTTTTTTAAAAAAAATTAAAAGATAAATTAATGAGTATTAAGGACATTTTAGTATAAAAGTTATCAACCACAATGGAGTTAAGTGTTATTTTAGAACTTGATGGAAGTGATCTGCAAATAGGTCAAATCGGGGGGGGGGGGGGGGGGGTCTTCT